TCTCTCTCTCTCTCTCTCTCTCTCTCTCTCTCTCTCATCTGATGCTCAATAAAAGTGAGGCAATGAGTGAGAGAGCGACTTCTGGATGAGAGCACACATGCGATAACTTATATATAATATAATGTTATATAAGAGTGTTTGGGTCGATGTGTTTGTCCATCACTACTACACTGTATGTGTTATTAGTTGCCGAGAAAATACAGTGTGTATTGTTATGTGTGAATAGGCTTTTCAATCACACACTCACACAAAAACGGGGTATTGTTTGCTAAAGACTTGAGTCCAAACACACAGTCCTTCCCCTAAAAATGTCATTGTATTTAATTCAGACAATTGGTGTAAAATAAATTATTTAAATCACAATACAGTACTGTATATAGTTTTATCATATTTTAAAAGTTTTATGCTAGCTAGGTTGCTATCCATAAGTAATTAATAAGTTGTCAATCATTTTACTGATGATTGGCTATTAATTTGTTATCTAATATATTATGCAATTATAGATAAGTCACAAATAAATATATTTATTGATTGATTGAATGTTTAATAATATATTTCTTTTATTATTACATTTTCACTCCCATCTGAATGGTATTCAATCTCCCGGTGCTGTCGACACATGTATAGCGAGTGGTCATCGGATGGCTGTTGGCTTCAGGAGCACAACAAATCGCATACGTTATGCAATTGCAATCACTTGACCAGCTTTGCGTACACCTGCGGGACTATCATGTCATGCAATACAGTATAACTTATCAATATTTATGCCACTTCTTTGCCTAAATTTGAGACAATAAAAACAATACACACTTAACAACATTAACACGAATGCCTTTCGGTTCCAATTCCAGTGCAACACATTTGGTGACACATATCGAGAGCACAATTTTCACGTACAGTACAAAGTGGCCGACGATATGGTTGGCGGACAAAAAGTCGAGTTTTATTTCTTTATAATTAGATTTCAGATTTTCAAAAAATTTAAATTTAATTAATGTCTAACGAATTTAAATGCAGCCATACTCGACATGTTTACGATATTTCCTTTGGTTTTCTCCAAGTGTTCAACCGATAGATACGTTAAATAAGACGACTGAACGCGACTTTTTGGTCATAAGACTGTTGAAAGTATGCAAAATGTTTGGATCGCTAATTGCATTAAAGGTACCACTTCAAAAAATTAACAATTAATGTGAGAAAATTAATTATTTATACTTTTATTCTATAATTTAATTGCTCTGAGATAATGAAAATGGTGTTGCTTTTAAAGGTATAAAGTGTACATTTAAAGAATAATGCAAAACAAAATTGCCTTAATATTCATTATATAAATTAAATTTTTGATTTATACGTTAAATATTTTAGTTTAATAAATTATTATTTAAGTATAAATTGAGAACTTATAACAAAACTTATTAAATAGAATTGACGTGTTTTTGGTATACAGTATTAAGTTTAATCCAAATACACAATTTAATAAAATATTTCAATTTATTAACTTATAAAAATTCATATATAGATTCTACCGTAAGTTTTTTTTAACTACTAAAACTATCAACTATACCAAATCAAATTAAAAGTTAAAATGCAAAAACTTAAAGTAATATAAATGTTGGTGAAATGATCCTTATATGATGTAAGTTACATCGTACAATATATAAGTTCATAAATTGTGGCGATCAATGACCAAGGTCGTTTATGTTTACGCACATGCGGTATACTGGATGGTGAAAGCCATGGGTTAAATTGACTAAACATAATGTATAGATTCCTAGTATTCTCCTTATTTTGCACTATTTTTCAATACAAAAGTTGATAAATATATGCCAATACTTTATATGTGAAGCGTAAAGTAAAATCACATTCAAAAGTCAATATATTGAATGTTTCTATGCATTACTAGTCCAGTATTAAGTGTGCCATAAGTACTGAATTGGTATTTTAACTCATAATTATTTATAATATTTTTTAAATAAAAATATTCTTCATTTTTATGCAAACAAAACAATAGCTTAAAATTCTTATTCTTACCACAAATGTATTATACATATGAAAAATACTTCCACTGTATTAATAACGCTATTCTTATTCTTACGACAACCGCATTAAAGTATAAACACATTAATTATATATTAATAAATATTTTTATATTAATGACAATATTTTAATATATTTATTAATATATAATACTTCGTAATGAAGAATAATGATAAACGTAAAGAATATTGTTATTCAACTTTCTCTCTCTCTCTCTCTTTCTCTCTCTCACTCTCACTCACTCACTCACTCATATCCTTGACTCTGGAACTTATTCTGTGTTATATTCAAACACAACATAATATATCATAAAAACATATCTATCAATAAAAATAACAAATTGTTTATTAAATTATAAATCTTTTTTATTTATAATAAATTTCATGTTTTTGTTTAAACTATTTTTCAAATATTAAATCAATGGAAAGTGTTTGACATTATTTACTGTATATTATATATATTTATATATATTATAATATGAATTGTGATATATTTTATAATAAAATAATTAAATGGAATGAATTTTAAAAATTACTAAACATTTAAATAAAACTTAATTTAATAATAATATAATAATTAAGGTGATAATAATTGCAAAAATGTTTAATGGAAATTAAAACTGTTGATACTTTTAAGCTGCAAAACTCATGTCTTGATGTCAATCTCTGGGACACAATACCGTGTATAATAAACCCTTCAATCATGATAAATGACCATGATATAATACAATGTCATCATCAAGACCGTTTTTTGGTCCATTCTATACAACTTATAAGTATTAACAATAGTAATAAAGGCACTGATTATTGAGAATCTTTAATCATTAATAATACTAATTAATACAACTATAGCCTAATCACAGTTAGGGTATGCATTGGGGGACGGAATCGACGCTTTCATTTTCATCATCGGATACTTTATTCCAGTCATTCGCTCTGTTCTTCAGCTATGGTTTTGAGCTCTTTATTGGATTTGACTCTTGGATACAACTGTCAAAAAGGGCCATCAAATGAGAATTTATAGTGAAATATATATTTAATAACATTATATTATGTGTTATAAGAATAATAATAGCAATAAATTGTCACAATGTTAGGCATTTACACTATAAACTGATTACCAGTTAATGTGTGAATGTATATCAAAAACAACTTACGCCGAGCAGATTCCTGGGCACATAGCCCTCCCGGTCGACACTCCGTGTCCACCACCACTCCCTCTCCTGTTCATCGCCTTTCCTGATGACAGTCAATACGTTTCCCTCTTTAAAGCTAAGTTCGTCCGTATTTTGAGACTCGTAGTCGTAAACAGCGAACACTTCATTCGCGTTCAAAATTCCCAGTTTTTCTTGAATTCCTGTTTGAAAAACACGTAAAAGACGTTAAGACCAAAGCAAACAACAACAACAATAATAACAGTGATATACAACAGAGAGAAAGTTCTCAATCCGTTAGCAATAAAATACAGCTTAAGAATATAGACCACAAAAACATGAATGACACGTACCGTAAAGATATTGGGAACAGCCGTCAAAGCCTTCCTCGTCCTCTTCACACTTCTCCGCAGCCGTCTCTTCATCCGAGAGAGTTGTGGCAAAAATACAGGCGCCGCTCTCTACCAAGAATTTGACCATGGACAAATTATTACACGACGCCGCACAGTGTAATGGTGTCCTAAATACACATATTATTGCATTATTAATAAACTCATTGCGCAAACAATTTATGTAAATACAAGTCAAAAGTTTTAAATTAATATCACTTCATACACATAGTCTTTAATTAAACATTTAATTGCTTTTTCAGTGCAAAAAAATTATAAACATCTTTCAAATAATGAGTCAATTAAAATGTTCTCAAATTAATTCCATAACAAAATCTTATTTACTTTTATGAAACACAAGAGAAAGTTTTGTTCAGATTTAGAGTTCTTGTAAAAAGAAATTAATTATCTTTTTTTTCTTTCTTTAAATCTAAGGAAGAATTGCTTCAATTCTATTAAAAGTATTCTTTGAAGAAGAAAACAAAAATCGTTCGCCTCTTTTGATCTGCGATAATAAGGGTCTGAAAACCCAATGCACTCACTATACGGACCAAATGGTAATTGATTTGAAAACACACGACTCCTATAAACATAATATTATATGTTTCCCGTTTTCTACTCATTAAATGGCTATAATATATGTCCAAACTGTAAGTCTTGAAATAATAGCAAATTTTATGACAATTGTATAACAATGGAAATAAACGCCAGAAGATTGTGTAAAGTATTAAAAACAAGAATAAATAGAAAAATATCGTTATTATAGAATTTATGCTCAAAATACAAACACCAATATATGAACTGTTATATAGAAAGATGAAGTTTATTGAAAATGTATATTCACTTCACACTAATACTTGTCCGGAGAGATAAGATATGTTTCTAATATATTGTTATACTAACAGTGGTTTATAGCGTTTATGCGACCCTTTTTGCACAATTGTATGAAATGGAAAGACCGGCAAAAAATCTATTTTCACACACAAAGTGAATGCAATACTAAAAATATCATTGAATTGAAGGCATAGGAAGAAGAAGAGCGCAAAAACGAAGAGAAAAAGTAAAATATATGATACGAGTAAAAAATCCAAATGTCGTTCACAACAGTTTGAGACAATTTAATGATTCAAAAGACACTTCACTGCAATACACATAAATTATATGCATTTTAACGTTACGGTTATTCCGGGATATAAATTGCTTTTTGATAACTGGATAACTGCCTCCACTATAATAGCAAAGTAATAGCGGTTTTCAAAGCCCAACAAAATATCATACATTTTAGTCGCGTTTTTATTGTTCGTTGGTTCGTGTGTTTTGCCTCAAACTATCCGCAAATTTATAATCAATAAAACATATATTTAGAGAGAAAACAATGCAATAATTGTGAGTTAGTTCTCAACGCTTTTATTTTATAGTTAATTAATGACTTGAGTCTGTGTTTCGCTACTGATTCCGAGAGATCCGCTAAACTCCGAACACAACTCTCGCTCCACTGTTTGGGTTATAAGACAAACACAGTTTGAGTTCTCATTAAAGCCATGATTTATGTAACGGATAATAGTTTTGAAAAATACTTTCTCTTTTTTCTGTGTTCTCTCTTTTTTCGGTTGTGTTTTATATTATAAATTAGAAAATTAATTACAGAAGTGATAAGAAATGTTGGCTAAACTCAGAAGCGAATTAATTAGTCTAGTGTTATAGCGTTGATGTGTGTGAATACATACCAGCCATCGCTGTCCTGTGCGTTAACATCGCATCCATTCTCCACCAGATAGACAACGATATCGAGATGACCGGCGCATATGGCGTTATGCAGCGCTGTTATGCCCTCGTCGTTGGCAGCGCTGGGATTTGGCACCTGTTTGGACACGTATGACAACATTGCGTTTAGTTTGGCTTAAGAATTAGTTAAGCATTATTAAATCAAATATATATATAACGTGTACTGCACTGTATTTATTATAGATATAATGAACAGAATATTCTTATGCAACAACTCCTTAACTGACAGTTTAGTTGATTATCTTAATAGAAATCTTTATATAAAGCAACAAATAAAGAGCTCTTTAACGCTCTTTTCTCATAAATAACTGCTTTTTAAACGAGAATTTTATGCTTTAGAATAAACATTAATTTAATTCATGTCTGAGACAACAAATTTCAAAGAATTTTTCATTAAAACACTATTCGTTGTATAAATTAAACATTTGGACAGAAAATTGATATTAGTTTTCGCTCTAACAGTCGAAGCGTTGATAACATATTATTATTGATGAACTAATCATAACTCTTATGAAATGTTTGACAATTTATTATCGCATGCAATGAATTATTGGATAAGTATTGATATAAATAAAAGACATGAACTGAAGTGAGAGAGAGAGAGAGAGAGAGAGAGAGAGAGTAGAAGATTGTAGTCAATGTCTCGTATGATTACATTGTATTTGTTGTGTAATTATATTTGCAAACCATTTATAGCGTCGGGTAAAAAATCAATAGCTTAGAAAATTAGTGCAATTAATAAAACTTTATATACCGTTCACTGATTATACAGTGTATGAACACAATGAACAGTACAGTTCTGGCGAATACAATATATTGCACATAATTTATCTATATAAAATAAAATGTCCAACAAAATCTAGCACTAATAGTGAATTACTATATTATTAGCACAATTTGCAGCAAAACTTAGAGTTTATTATAACGGATGAAAACAAGAATATTCTGTAGAAATTTTTAATTAAATCTAATAATTATAGCACAGAATTAAATGCATTATTATTTTATGTTCACAATTGTTGTTCACTATAGCGGGTAATGTGTATTAACTAATCAATATATCAGGGTATTGGGAGTGACCTGGTACACTAATTTACTGTACAATCAATTGATCCAGGTCAACTAATATATTTATTGCTCAAAGGATTTGTCAATAATTCTTTCACTTTCACCGTTATTATTAGGATAACGGGTATTGTTGTCTAACATTCTCTCTCTCTCTCTCTCTCTCTCTCTCTCTCTCATCTGATGCTCAATAAAAGTGAGGCAATGAGTGAGAGAGCGACTTCTGGATGAGAGCACACATGCAATAACTTATATATAATATAATGTTATATAAGAGTAAAGCACTGTATGTTTGGGTCGATGTGTTTGTCCATCACTACTAACACTGTATGTGTGATTATCGTTGCCGAGAAAATACAGTGTATATTGTTATGTGTGAATAGGCTTTTCAATCACACACTCACACAAAAACGGGGTATTGTTTGCCAAAGACTTGAGTCCAAACATACAGTCCATCCCCTAAAAATGTCATTGTATTTAATTCAGACAATTGGTGTAAAATAAAATATTTGAAGCACAATACTGTACTGTATATAGTTTTACCATATTTAGGAGTTTATGCTAGCTAGGTTGCTATCCATAAGTAATTAATAAGTTGTCAATCATTTTACTGATGATTGGCTATTAATTTGTTATCTAATATATTATGCAATTATAGATAAGTCACAAATAAATATATATTTATTGATTGATTGAATGTTTAATAATATATTTATTTTATTATTACATTTTCACTCTCATATGAATGGTATTCAATCTCCCGGTGCTGTCGACACATGTATAGCGAGTGGTCATCGGATGGCTGTTGGCTTCAGGAGCACAACAAATCGCATACGTTATGCAATTGCAATCACTTGACCAGCTTTGCGCTGCTTATGGACATCAATAGTGACAAAGTAAGTGTCATTTTTATATCTAACCTATATAATCTAGATTAATATTTATCAATATGATTTTTAATATATCTCTATCTGTAATGTATGGATAGCTACTGTCCGTCACTGTTATCACTGGAAATATCGATAGTTTTGTTTTCATATGTTTTGAGTATTTTTCGCTGTTTTACACTTCAAATGTAGCCTTAATTCAAACGTCAAATACTGTTTTTATTGGACTTTTTTGTGCCGATTCTTGAGTTAGAAATGTATTTATTTATTTAGTGAACACTTTTTTTGCACTACTATTTACGGCTTGAGTTTCTTATATTATGTTTGTTTTTATAGTGAACTTTATGTATAGTGTATTAATGCAATATTTATATGTAGATTATTCTTGGGTTAAGTTTTATATAGAGGTTTTGAAAACTATTATATAATTAATGTTTTATCAAGGGTTATATTTTTAGTTAATTTTATTATCCATGTTTAGTTTAAATTAATTATTTAAATTCAATTATTTTCTAACGACTTATTTAAAAAGAAATTATTTTTATTTTGTTAAATACACGGAATTTATTAGTAAAACATTTAATTAGGTTTTGATATTATTTAAATTAAAATGTTTACTAATTTAAAAATATAAATTGTTTGACATTAAGGCACCGATCGTTGTGGACGACCAGTGGCACCGGTACGCCATATACATAGGCTGTGCCACATCCCTGGCCTTCATTACATTGACATTAGTTTTGGTGCGATTTGTTTGGTAAGTGTTATACAGTTTTTGATAAATTATTTTATCACATGTTTTGTATAATATATTTTTTGCTCACTTTTTTCGTTGACTTTGTTTTGGCCCCAAAAACAATTGAATTCCGAAATAGATTTATTTTCTTTATTTTTCAAGTCTCTCTCTCTCTCTCTCTCTCTCTCTCTCTCTCTTTCTTTGTCGAGAGTTTTTTCATTTGGTTTTTAAAATTTATTATATATTTCGCTATTGACTTTGTTTTGGCCCCAAAAACAATTGAATTCCGAAATAGATTTATTTTCTTTATTTTTCAAGTCTCTCTCTCTCTCTCTCTCTCTCTCTCTCTCTCTCTCTCGTGTTTTATATGCAATACTGTTTTGCCTAAAAGGCATGAAAAATACATTTCCCTTTAAAATATATTATTTCTTTGCCCGCAATATATCTGTATCTCAATTGTCGTTCAGATGTGACTATTGTTTGGCAAACAGTTTGAGAAATTATAGCTAATATAATATAATTGATAGCAATTTACTCATAATTTTTAATAAAACTATTTATAAACTTATTTATAAACTAAAACAATAAATAATTATTATTATATTCATTACAACAAACTATAGGAACCGAAAGATGAGGGACGGACTGCACAAGTCTATGTCGGGAGCGCCCCAATGGCTACCCGAGTGTATTCGGGGCTCTAAACCGCTGCCACCGGACGCCACCCAAACCGGCGGCCAAACGGCCCACATGTTTACCATCGGTCCAAACGGGGGTGTGATCGGTGCCCCGCCCTCGCCAATGATCCGGGCCAGTGGTCACCATCATAAGAGCCACTATCAGCTGCACCCCCACCAGGACATGGGTAGCCAGGGTGGTCTGGCCGGACTGGACCGGACGGGTTCGCTTCAACAGCTCAGTGTGGGTACCCCTCAATCACATCTCACATACCAAACTCCCCCACCAGGTATTGCACACCACCATAACTCCTACTCACTCACGCATATACCTTACTTTTGCCATAAGTACCATAAATATCTTATACGCACCATGTTTATTTTGCTATTATTTTTACTACACTTGCCTGTTCACTCAGCTTGCTCACTTATTTTTTTTGTGCACGGTGCTTGTTGGCTCCGGCAACTGTCCAATTGATTTACAGTTTCATAATTGCATTGTTTTTATTTGTTCTGTAAATATTATCATGCTATTTTTTGAATATTTATTTTATTACTATGATGTATGTTTACGGCCATGGCTGCTGCCGGTGCTGTCGATTGATGATCCCTATTTACCATAAGTGAATGCAAATTTGTTTTATGCAAATGTTTTTGTATTTTGTATACTCGCATGACATTTAAGCCCAAAAATTGATTTTTTAAAACATAAACACTTTGTTTGTTATGCATTTGCTTTTGTACCCAAAAAAATAATGCATTGATTTTTTGTGTGTCACTAATTATTATTCAATAATTTCTGTTTTGCATAATTATGTATACGATTCTTGGTATACAAAAAACAACTAACAATTTTATCATGAATGATTTTGACTGCTCAGCCCTTTTTGTATGTTTTATTAATTATATTATATACTAACTGCCTGTCCCTCTATCCCCTATCTTTCCCTATCTGTTTGTCTGTATATCTATGGTGTTTAGGTATATGTGTGTTTGTGAGGGCTGGTGTCTGGAGGGGGACTAATGTTAACCCATACACTAATATACAAAATATTTTAATATTATAAATATAAACATTAATTAACAATATATGGCGTAAAACTATTTTCAAGTCTCTCGTTATTAAACGCATAGAAATTTTTGATATGATTTAACGCTTATTATCATAAAAATCGTATAAATTATAAGAATATTCTGTGTGTTTAAGGCTTAAAAGAATTTGCATTTTTATATATATATATTAGGTTTTATATGTTTAATACCATTCACTATAGTATTGATTGAAATATTTCTTTAAAAACATATAAAAATTCTTTGCCGTTCAGTGATTAGTAGATTTGCGATATATTTATGTTGTATATAATGAACGCTATTGTAGTGTACGGTATATAGAAATTTTTGTACACTATTGATAACAAATGCTATGCTATCTATGATCTGCCGCTACCCTATTGTGTACACTATATTCATGTCATATATATTTTGCGATACTATTATACAAGTATTTATTGAATCAATTTTTTTATTGTATATGTCTTTATAAGTTATATATCGTTGGTATACCAGCTCTCTCTCTCTCTCTCTCTCTCTCTCTCTTACTCTCGTGTATTACTAGTGAAAAAAAGTTAAGTGCGATTTGATCTGCGACTCCATTAGTGTATTTTCACTATAAAAGTTGTAGTGTTTTCTGAGTTTAACCCCAAAATTGTACACAAAATTTCAGTACAATTTTTTCTTGTCG